TAAAACTATCTCTTCAAGTCCAAATCCTGAATGCATCCCTGTGTTATGCAGTGTGAACCTTAAATTACATGAGAAATGTTCAAATTAATGATGTTCAAATATTAAATTGATCTGTCAGGGCTCAGTGAAGCCATAAAACGCGTCAGGTAATTTGGACCCTCTCCTTTCCTGGAATATTTTAATGCCCTAAAAGGATCCTAATTTCAACATATAATAGGTATACTATATTTTAAATAACTTCCATCTTTCTGTAGCAGTTAAATGGTATAATAAGTTCTGTTATTAAAGAGTCCAGTATGTAGAGAAAAATGTTTTATAAAGTGAAGAATAATATTTTACTGTGGCAGAATTCAGGTTTCATTTTTCCTGGACTGTGTTTTGAGATTTTTCATTTCTCTCCTTAAACTTAAGAGCATCTGTTTTATAAAATACATGAGATACTTTGAATCACTTTGTCCTCTACTAACAGTTTAGACTTTGGTTTACACCACCAATTGCTCTTGCTAGTTCCTCCCCCTGCTTCCAATTTCCTTGTTTATTCCTTATGAAGTATATTTCAAATAGCTTGCTGAGACCCCTGAAGGCTCATTAAGCATGAAGGCCATACATGTATTAGTGAAAGTTTAAACATGTTGCTTGGTAGCATAGCTGTGACTGGTGGGCACTGGGTAAACAAAGGACTCACTCAAGCCCAGCATGAAGTCTCTGCCATCTGAATTATCCCTGCTTATTTTTAAAAACTGGACAGTTCTGGTGTCTTATATCATTAGCGCTTCTCCAAACACACAAACTGAGGAATCTAAAATATCACCAATGACAACCATCCAAAATAGGTGTACATACCTGGCATTTCAAGAAGACTTCACCAAGAAACACAGCTTAATTACAGAGCAGCATTTGTGAGGACGGAAATAAATGGTCACACTTCTCTGATGTTTCTTGAGACCCTGACAATTATGTAAATATAGTTTCTGCACATTTATTATGCCTAATATTCTTGATTTTAGTTTTTCAGAGAAAACTATTAGCCATAGATAAGTAAATATATACACGTGTGCGCACGCACACACACGAGTCAGCTAATGATGCCACACAGACATGTTATAATAAACAGCTAATTCCAACCAACAGAAGATTTTCACCATTGATCCACATAAGAAAAAATTTTAATGCATGACTTTTAACTGCATAAATACATTATGTTTTGTCTAGTTGCAATTATCAATATCATAAATATATGAATCAAAACAGACGATATTTTTATGTCTACATTAGTATAGCGTTTACACTAAACAGGTAGCCTATTTTTAAAATTTGCAAAATTTGTCCTCTATTAAAACCACTGAATTTATACTCACTGAGTAATTTTGATTGAGCATAATGAACAGTATGTTTATTTAGAACCATTTCATTTGATTTGCCAAAATTTTTTAGCCCTATTTAAACTGCCAATACTATGTATTAATCATCCCAAATTCTGAGAAGTAGCCTCTACCTGACCACAGAGTATTAAAAAAAAATAATGTAGGATTCCATCTGCCAAAAGAGTTCTAATAATAACTTTGTCTTACTATCGTTTTTGTTGTGATTACCATTATTTGTCACTAGAAGAAGAGATAGAAAGAGCCGAGGCTCTGATTATTTAAATGCGAGCAAGCCCAGCTGTAAAATTATCCTGCTGTTTTTTGATTTGTGTGTGGCAACTGTGAGAGACTCAAGCTCATTCCAGTAGAGTCGTTGGACAACAAAAAGGCATTTCTGATCCTCCTCTTTGAGAACTTGTATGCAAGAATATTGGGTCAGCCTGGCACTTGCTCATGTTTATTATGTATGTTTCCATATCTGGATGTCTTCTTGATAGGAGTCCATAGACAAGCTTACTTGTACCCAGTGCAGCCTACAGACCAGCCTACCCATACCCAGTGTAGTCTATAGACTAGCTTACCCTTATCAAGTATAGTCTATAGACTAGATTACCTATATTCAGTTTATTCTATAGACTAGCCTACCTATCTCCAGCCAGTATAGTCTATAGGTCTGCTTACTAGTACCCAAAATAGTATATAGACTAGATTAGCCATTTCCTCTGTAGTCTATAGACTGGCTTACCCAAAGCAAATCTAGTCTATAGACTAGATTCCCATATCCACTTAGTCTATAGACTAGTTTATCCATATCAAGTATAATGTATAGAATAGACTTTCCATATCCAGTTTAGTCTATAGACTAGCTACCCAAACCCAGCGTAGTTTATTGACTAGCTTACCCATACTCAGTGTATTCTATAGACTAGCTTATGCATACCCAGTATAGCCTATAGGCTACGTTTTCCACACCCAAAGTAGTCTATAGACTAGCTTACCCATACCCAGTGCTGTCTGTAGAGTAGCTTACCCATCCCCAGCATAACCTACAGACTAGCTTACACATATCCAGTGTATTCTATAGTGTGACTTACCAATACATAGTGTAGCCTATAAATTACCTATATAGAGTGTAGCCCATAGGTAAGCCTTTAGCTTACCCATACCCAGTGTAGTCTGTAGATTAGCTTACCTATAACAAAAAATTTGCAAAATATTTTTTATCAAATTATAATTTCTCTAGGGCATCTAATTATTTAAAGAAAATAATTCTAAACAATACATAATTTTATTAAAGGAAGATTAAAATGACACACATCTGAAACTTTAAGCCTCTGTGTTTGAAGTGTTATTTGGGTACTTCTTGGTCTCCAGTGCTCATGTAAACACAGGCTTACCTCGCTTTGTTGTGCTTCACGGATATTGCATTTTTTACTGAATTGAAGGTTTGTAGCAACCCTGCACTGAGCAAAGCTATACATAATTTCTCCAAAAGCATGTGGTCACTTTGTGTCCCTATGTAATATTTTGGTATTTCTCACAATTTTTTTGTTATCATTGCATTTCTTATTATTGCTATGCTTGTCTTGGTGATCCATGATCAGTAATCTTTGTTATTACTATTGTAATTGTGTCGGAGATCACACCCTTATAAGATGGCAAAATTAATTGGTAAATGTTGTGTGTGTTCTGGCTGCTCCACCAACTGGCCATTCCCCATCTGTCTCCCTCTCTTTCAGCATTCCTATTCCCTGAGACACAACAATATTGAAATTAGGCCAATTAATTCTCTACAATGTTAAGTATTCAAGTAAAAGGCAGAGTCTCTCCCTTTAAATCACAAGCAAGGAATGAACATGGGGAAGCCATTTCAAAAGCCAAGAGAGGTCATAACCTAGGCTTTTGCACAAAACAGCCAACTGGTGAATGTAAAGAAAGAATTTTTGAATGAAATTTAAAGTGCTACTTCAGTGAACATATGAATACTATGAAAGTGAAACAGCCTATTGCCAATATGCAGAAAGTTCCAGTGGTCTGGATAGATCAAACCAGCCACAATACTCTCTTAAGCTAAAGCCTAATCCAGAGCAAAGCCCTATCTCTTTTCAATTCTTTGAAGGCTGAGGAGGTGAGAAAGCTGTGGAAAAAAAGTTGGAAGCCAGTGTAGGTTGGTTCATGAAGATTAAGAAAAGAAGCCACCTCCATAATATAACAGGCAAAGCGAAGCAGCAAGTGCTCATCTAGAAGCTGCAGCAAGTTATCCAGAAGACCTAGCTAAGACCATTAATGAAGGTGGCTACACTATAAAACATACTTTCAATGTAAATGAAACTGCCTTATATTGAAATAAGTTGCCATTTAAGACTTTCATAGCTGGAGAGGAGATGTCAATATCTGGCTTGAAAGCTTCAAAGAACAGGATAACTTTGGTTAGGGGCTAATGCAGCTGGTGACTTTAAGTTAAAGCCAATGCTCATTTACCATTCCAAAAATCCAAGGGCCCTTAAGAATGATGCTAAATCTTCTCTGTCTGTGATATAGAAATGGAACAACAAAGCCTAGATGACAGCACATCTGTTTACAACATGGTTTACTGAATATTTTGAGGCCACTGTTGAGACCTACTGCTCAGAAAAAGGATTCTTTTCAACATTTACTGTTCATTGACAATGAATCTGGTCACCCAAGAGCTCTCATGGAGATGTACAAAGAGATTAATGTTCTTTCTGTGCTTCTTAGCACAACATTCATTCTGCAGTCCCTGGATCAAGGAGTCATTTTGACGTTCAAGTCTTATTATTTAAGAGATACATTTCATAATTTATAGTTGCTATAGACAGTGATTCCTCTGATAGATTTAGGCAAAGGCAATTGAAAATCTTCTGGAAATGATTTACCATTGCAGACACCATTATGAACATTTATGATTTGTGGGAGGAGGTTAAAATATCAACATTAATAGGTGCTTGGAAGATGTTGATTCCAAGCCTCATGGATGACTTTGAGGAGTTCAAGACTTCAGTGGAGGAAGTAACTGCAGATGTGGCAGAAATAGTAGGCGTTGTAGAAGGGGAAGTGGAGCCTGAAGCTGTGACTGAATGGCTGCAACCTCATGACTAAACTTGAATGGATGAGGAGTTGCTTTTTGTGAATGAGCAAAGAAAATTATTTCGTGAGAAGGAATATGCTGGTAAAAATGCTGTGAACACTGTTGAAATTTAAAAAAATCTAAAAAATAACATAATTGATAAGGCAGTGGCAGGGTTTTGGAGGATTGACTCCAATTTTAAAATAAGTTTTACTTGTGAGTAAAATGCTATCAAACAGCATCTCATACTATAGATAAATCTTTTATGAAAGGAAGTGTCAACCAATGTGGCAAATTTCATTGTCTTATTTTAAGAAATTACCACAGCTATCCCCACCTTCAGCAACCACCACCCTAGTCAGTCTGCAACCATCAACATTGAGGCAAGACCTTCCACCAGCAAAAAGATTACAAATCATTGAAGGTTCAGATGATTGTTAACATTTTTTAGCAATAAAGTATTTTAATTTAGGTTTGTGTATTTTTTTAGACACAATGGTATTACATACTCAATGGACTATAGTACAATGTGAACATAACTCTTATACTCACTAGGAAACAAAAAATTTGTGTGAATTGCTTTTATTGTGATATTTTCTTTATTGTGGTAGTCTGGAACTGAACCCATAATATCTCTGGAGGAGACCTGTAGAAGCCCCTTGGCCTCTCTTGTGAGACAGTTGACATCTTTGCCAATGTCTACATATTCTAGTAGATAGAACAAGTTGGCAACATGCCTCCTTCCATTTACAAAGAGCTGTCAGGACTAAATGCATTGCTTAATATTAGTGATGGTTACTCAGTGGTTTCTAATGTAATTATACCCTGCTTTCTCTACATGGCTTCCAATGTTTTTTAATCTTTATTTAACCATAAGGCAGTAATGAGTAATTTGCTTTCATTGTTTCCTTTTTATTTATTACTCAACACATACTGAGCTTCCACTATCAGAAATATGCTCATAGAGGTGATAATGAATTGAGCAACTGATGTATGATCTATGTCTGCCAAGAGTTTATTAATGTCTGGAAAAGCTCTGAATTAATAATAAAAGTAAAAGTAGCAATAACAAAAATACTGATCATAGTATTTGTTTATGGTATACACTAGACAGACAATTATGAAAAAAACTACAATATTCTAGGAGAATTGTCTGAATATAAATAGAGATTGTATTAATGTTCTTTCTGAAAATATTACTATACATAGAATTCTCCTATTTAAGATATATTTATGTTTTTCTTGCTTCTGTCTCCTTGTGGCTTTTATCTATAATATCTAGCTCTGTCCTCCGGAATGCAACAGGAGGAGTTCTTTTCCTCTGTTATGTGAATTTCTAATATTTCAACAGCAAGATGTATCTTCTCTAGACTAATCATCTCCACCTGTTCCAATGCTTCCCAAACAACAGTTCGTAATCACCTCATCTTATGGATTGGAAGTTCCCCAAATCCTTCCTACTTCATTGTTATTACTTTTAAATTGCAGGGCAAAGAAAAGAACTAAAACCTGGACAAAGCATCCGAGTAACATGAATAACTGTGAGCTTTCATATTTGTAAAGGACAGGTGCTTCATTGTTTATGACATATGATGCACATGCTACCATGAGCACCCCTATCATCTTCTTCCACACACTTTTTCTGAGCCCAGGTCCAGATTTCCCTTCACGTTGAAATCTTTCTTTTAGTGTGAGCCCAACACAGAGATGGAGGAAACAGCTATAGAAACAATAATATTTGTGGATAAGGAAATGGCCAAATTCTTTTTTCATTCATGTGCCTGCATGTAGCAGCTAGCATACTCTGAAAATAAAGCATGTTTCAGTGAAATACTGAAATGTGGGAGAAATCCTATTAAGCCACTGCTACCTATGTATAATTTTAATTTGCTTTTATATATTTGTCTAGCAAGTCAGTCATCTACCTAGCTGAAGTCATAAAAAAGACATTTAAATATATTGAGTGGACACTGTTTAGGATCTTTCATAATTGTGATATGTTGCTAGAAAAGCATAGGGGGAACCAATTAAGTGCTTAACTAATACATGGTGAAAACAGGGTTTATTGTCTAGGAACAAAAGTGATGATTATGGGTTCTTTGGATGTTAACTTTGAAAGCTTGTGATTTGAGAATCCCCCTTCGGTATTTTTAATATCTGTTTGTAAATCTGATCTAGGGCAACGATATGAAGTAGAATTCCTCTGTCATCTGTCAGACTACCCGCCATGCATCTAGCGTAAGACTTATGGATCTGCCAGGCACTGATCCATTGCTCTGTTATGTTCTGTTGCATCTTTGGAAATTAACTCTACAGATAATCCAAAGGGAAATTCATGTCTTTGGTATATGCATTCAAAATTGTCCTTAGCCATTTCTTTGCCCCTGCAAGACACATGAATGGGGATGATAAATAGACATCTCTTTTCTTAATAGGGCTTATATCTTGGGCTGCAGAAGTGGTTCACTAGCAATTTCCTTTATGTACTTGAAGGTTTGTTTGGCCCTTATTGTCCTGGGCTGTTTATTGAGAGGCTCAGAACCACTTAAGCACATGTGCACATTGAGAGCTGGCTAGTGGAGAGGTTGGCAGGGTGGAAATCAGACTAGAGATCCAGGAGCACTAGGCATGAATAGAGTTATATCAGCCCCCAGCAAAACACTGTATTTTATGGGGTCCTAAGAATTCACTTCAACTCAGATCATCCTCTCCAATCCACGGCGCTCTGAGTCAACCTTAAATCCTGTAAGTGCAATTGTTCATGTATGTTTTCAACTGTCTTCTCAGCTAGGGGAAGTTTGTATTTCATCAAATCTGTTGGATCCATAAACTGTGATGGCTCTAATGGATATAATTTTGAGGAACCCAGTGTACTTTTTTTTATTGTGTTTTAGGTTTTGGGGTACATGTGAAGAACATGCAAGATTGTTGCATAGGTACACACATGGCAGTGTGATTTGCTGCCTTCCTCCCCTTCACCTATATTTGGCATTTCTCCCCATGCTATCTCTCCCCACCTCCCCACCCCCCTGTCCCTCCCCCATTTCCCCCCAACAGACCCCAGTGTGTAGTGCTCCCCTCCCTGTGTCCATGTGTTCTCATTGTTCAACACCCGCCTATGAGTGAGAACATGTGGTGTTTGATTTTCTGCTCTTGTGTCAGTTTGCCGAGAATGATGGTTTGCAGGTTCATCCATGTCCCTACAAAGGACACAAACTCATCATTTTTGATGGCTGCATAATATTCCATGGTGTATATGTACCACATTTTCCCTGTCCAGTCTATCATGTGCTTAATTAGAATGGGTATCAGACTGTCCAATAAACTCCTATTACAATTATTCATGGATTGAACTCACAAGAAGCATTCTGAGGTCATTTTTGGACACCCTAAGAATGGAAAGAGATGTCAGAGTGTCCATAAACTAAAAAACAAAGAAAATTTTAGAGTTTTTTCTAAAACTTTTAGTGCTTTTCTAAACAGAGAGAGAGAGATCAGAAAGTGTATTTTTCTCTCTTATTTCAACACATTGTGTTAGTTTCATTTCATCAGCATACTTTCAACCTACTAATATAGGGCTGTTTAATACAATCTTGTTTATGTCAGACAACTGTGCACATTTTCCTCTCACCTTTCAGTAGAACAAGGATTCAAAAATGTCGAGGTCTATTATAGCAATTCTAAGGGTGTAAACAATAAGTTTGGTATTTTATTGAAATGTTTTCTTTGGAATCTGAGAGTTCATTGTTCAACATCCTCTGTCACAGACAATGAAATAACACCTTGTTTTCTTTGCAGAAAGAAAGGTAAGTCTTGAGTTTCTGTAAAATAATTTTCCATGTAGTTTATGCTTCTCCTTTAAATGTCAAGAAGAAAAAAAGATTGTGAGAAAATACACTGAAATATTTATGCTCTGAAAAGAGAGATTTCCATTTTCTTCTTGTTTTTACTTTTCTATATTGTCTGAATTTTTCCTAATATGCAATTATTTTTATCACTGGGACTGGAATGAAAATGATACAAAAGTTGGTGGTTTAATAGTTCCCAAAGTCTCCACGTGACTACAGAAATCATTAATAATTTTGGAAGGATCAGCAATTTTTGTTTGCACCATCCATTATAATTTGTATGATTAATCAACATAGTAAAAAACTGCCCTGGGTGATCTTTGTTCCCCAGATGTGTTTACATCCTGTTTCAAATGAGAGACCTCAATCCTTGCTGAGTTTCCTTTGATTCCTTGGGCATGGGTCCCTCAGGATGAAATAAAAAAAAAATCTGTCACATTTTCAAAAAGAGGTAACTCTCTGTGTCACAAATATGGTAATTCATTACTTTTCTGCATCACTCATCAAAATTCTACGCTAATTTTGTTCTCAATAAACTGCTTCTCCCAAATTTTCAGGCTTCTGTGAGGAGTAAGCAGTCTTAATAATAATAACTATAATTTATTGAACAGTTAAATATCTGCCAGGTGCTCTGCTAAGCATTCTGAATATACCATTGAATTTAATAATTCTCCAAGCAACACTCACATGGAAGTAATATTAATAGCTCCATTTTTATGAGAAAGCTGATGCTTATGGAATTTAAGAATCTTCTACAAGCATCTAAAACTGATAAGTGATTGTGCTAGGATTTCACCATGGGTCTCCTTGGCTCCCAAGTTAGGCATGTCATGTTGCCATTTGATTCTACAGCCAATGTCTATCATATCACTTTATCTCTCTGGTGACATTGGAAGTTCCACGAACACAGGGTCCCTATGGGTTTTTCTTATTCAACCAATTTCTTTGTACTATTAAAGGGTCTTTGAACAGTTTTTGAGAGCGTTCTCTGCTATTTGTTGAATTCCTCCATTAAGTGTTAGGAAGAACTAACACAAGCATGCCTCAAAGAGTGAGAATGCATGAACCCACCTTTCCCCTTGGGGACACCGCATTTGATAAATGCTATGATACATAATTCAACTCAGTCCCTCCTAGGTTAACATAATAGATGCTTATAGTATTGCTAACTTATAATAACATAAGTTTATCAATTTAATGCAAAGCTGGATCAACTGTCTGCATTTGTACCATGGCATATATTCTTCTGTATCCTACTGGGATGACTTCCATGTCCAGTCAGCCCTTTCTATTTCTAGATCCACATAAGCAGGTTAAACACACCTCGGATAAGAAGTATTTTCTAAAAATTAAAAATAACAATATAAGAATAAAAAAATACAAAACCCCAATAGAGTATAACAACTATGTTCACAGCATTTACATTATATTAGGGATTATTTAAAAAAAAAACTGGAGATGATTTAAAACATAGTGGTTTCTTGGTACCAGTGGGGGATTGGTCCCAGGACTTCCCAAGGCTTCCAAAATCCAAGCATGCTCAACTTCCTGATATGAAATGGTATAGCATCTGCATATAATCTATGTACATCCTCTCACATACCTTAAATCTTCTCTAGATTACAATAACGCATTGACTAACAACAGAGCTATGTTCTGAGTACCAACAAAAAGAGTCAAACTCTGTAAAGTATTTGAAGAGATTTATTCCGAGCCAAATATGGGTGACCATGGCCCATGATACAGCCCTCAGGAGGTCCTGAGAACATGTTCCCCAGGCGGTGGGGGCACAACTTGGTTTTATACATTTTTGGGAGGCATGAGGCATCAATCAAATACATTTAAGAAATACGTAAAGGCGGGGCAACTCAAAGTGGGTGGGGGGATGTGGGGAGCTTCCAGGCTATAGGTAAATTTAAACATTTTCTGGTTGACAATTGGTTGAGTTTGTCTAAAGACCTAGAATCTGGGATCGATAGAAATGAGACATTCAAGTTAAGATAAAAGATCGTGGAGACCAAGGTTCTTTTGAAGGCTTATAGTTGCAGCCCTTAGAGACAATAGATGACAAATTGTTTCCTATTCAGATCTATAAAACATGCCAGACTCTTAGTTAATCTCTTTAGGATTGGGAGGGTCTGGAAGAAAAAGATTTAGCTATGTTAATAGAGATTCTTTATATAGGCAAAATTTCCCCCAGAAAGGACAGGTTTGCAGAGCCATTTCAAGATATGGCAAAGAAACATGTTTTGGGGTAAAATATTTTCACTTTTTCTTTATTACATAATGCTATGTCAGAGTCAGATTGGAACATAGGTCACAATATATAGGGTTAAATGAAACCCATCTGATGAGAATTTGTGATTTGTAGGGCATGACTACCCAAACCCCTTAGATGGGAATTTGGGCAAGATAAAATATCAGAGCTTAGTCCTCATGAGAAATGCATCATTAAATGATTTTGTTATCGTGTGAATATTAGTAAGTGTATTTACACAAACCTAGAGGGTATAGCCTGCTACACACCTAGGCTATACATCATAGCCTCTTGCTCCTGGGCTTCAAACCTGGACAGCATGTTATTGCACTCACTACTGTAGGCAATTGTAACACAATGTGTTTGTGTATCTGAACACAGCTAAACAGAAAAGGTACAGTAAAAATGGCATTATAATCTTATGAGACCCCCAGCATATATGTGATCTGTTGTCGACCAAAACATTGTTATGTGGTACATAATTATACATATAATACCTAATCCAATGTAAATGCTATGTAAATAGTTATTATTTATAAGAAAAATAGGTGTTTATTGTTCACTACAGATGCACTTGATTTTTCCAAATATTTGGATCCAATACTGAACTTGTGGCTGACTGTATATAAGAGGATGTCTGTAGGTTAAATGCAAATACTATGATGTTTTATATAAAGGCCTTGAGTACTCTTAAATTTTGGAATCCATGGGGGTCCTGAAACCAATCCCCTCTGGATATTGAGGGACAACTATTGTCAATCAAATAAGGATATGCTTAAGAAAATACTGGTTATCTAGTGCTACAATAATGCAGCATAACAAACACCCTTTACCTTACCTTAATGGCTTTAAATAAAATGCAGTTGTCTAACTTATAAGAAGGAACATGGCTTGTACATTTAGGTTGTGTTCAGCTAGATGGATTTTTGGTTCTCTGTTGACTTCACTCCCATGGCTATCAGCTGAAATAACTGCACCGTAGGTCTCTTATCTTCCAGCAAGCTAGCTCAGGCATGATCTAAGGATGGGGGCCAGCAGTAGGAGCACAAGAAAAAGCACAGGCACTTTCAAAATCTCTGCCATTGTTGACACTCATTGGCTAAACCAAGTAATGAGGTGAACTCAAAATTTAGGGGTGAACTATCCCCCACCTTCTATTGAGAGAAGCTGTAATGTGGTCACATTGCGAAGGGCCTGGCTTCAGGAAAGGCTGAGAAATCAGGGCACCAATGCAATTTCTCTTCAGCCAGGAACACCTGAATTTCATGTCAAATCATCATTAGCAAAAGCAGGTCTGTGATAGCTATTTACACACTACAAGCTTTGTTGAGAGTAGATGGTTTTTGCTGTTTATTTCAACATGAGTGCATGCTGCTCGAGGTGCAGTTCACATCTAATTTACTCTGGCAGGTCCCTGAAGAGGCTATGATGTTCAAAGCAGGAACTGCCCAAACACTATGCAGTTATTCTTTCATATTTAAAATGATCAATGGATAACCCACACACAATATTGTCAGAGTCAAAATAGTATCTTCTTGCCCTAAGTCAGAGAAATAAAAAGTCTCAACTGAATAATTGCTTACACCACTGAACATTTAATGTTTCATGAAGTAAATCTTGATAAAAAGTATGTGTGTGCATGTGTGTGTATACAAAGTCAGGAATGACTTTCTATCTTAACACATGTGTAAATCAGGATTCTTCTTTCAATTGTAGAACACCAACACCAGCACCATTAGAATAGCTCTATTAAAGGTACTCATGGACAAACTGTGCAATATTGAATTTATTACCACAAACTCCAATGAAAGCACCATGGGAATAATGGATATATTGGAAAAATAGTACAAGTGGCATAGTAATCATACAAACTGTTTGGGTTTTCTAAGCTTGGTTCCCTTATCAAAATATTTCCCCAGAAATACTCACCCATATCACATTAGATTGGCTTTCTTTAACTCCAGCTTTCTCTGACTGCTTTTTTTCAGGGTCTTTCTCTGTTGCCCAAGCTGGAGTGCAGCGGTTCCACTATAGTTCACTACATTTTCAAACTCCTGGTGTCAAGCAATTCTCCCATTTCAAACTCTCAAAGTGCTGAGATTATAAACATGAGCTATCACGTCCAGCCAAAATCAGACATAAAAAAAAAGTTTGCATTTTCTTTAATATAGCTACCATGTGAACTTTTTATGAGACAAATCCCTCTTGAAAACTAGCTCTAGGAGACAATGTGCTTGTCCAATAAACTTGTTTGCTTTTATCATATATAAAAAATTATAATTGTGTGCTTTTTTTTCTCTAAAAATAACAAGGTAAATATTGGCACATGATTGCAGTTTGTACATTAGCTTAGGTTTCTTTTTTGTATTATTGTCTTTTATCAGCCTTTGCACTGGTATATTTTGTAATTAAGTCTTCAGTTAATGTTTAGTAGGGGGATGTCATCTAAGTTATCTGTTGCTGCATTGTACTATACACTCAAAATATAGTGGAATATTGTGGGTAACACCCTCCATGGGCACCGAGGAGGGAGAACTGTCCAGACCCCAGGCACAACCAGTGCCTGAAGAATATCTTAGTATATAGTGTTATTGCTCAACTGTTTCCTTTATATAATCCTGCATATATAATCATATATTAGTTTATAGAATTAGTGCTTGAAGTATAACTTACTGCTTACATATATCTACTTTATATAATCATACTTAATACTTACACATACTTAGTTCTACATAATCTTTCTATATAATCACATAGTTATTGTAGTTGGAGATGTACTGACACATTTAGTGCTGATTTATATTATCCTTCTATATAACCATATAGTAGTTTATAGCAGGAGGAATGCCTACAGCAGTCACAGAACAGAAGCAGTACATGGGAAAACAGCCAGACCAGGACAAGAACCAAAGACCCAGGCGGTGGCATCCCTGCCTGAAAGGCTATACGCTGTATGGCAGGCTTGGAGCAAGTGCCTCTCCTCCTGATAAAGGAGTTGTAGTACCTTGCATCCAGTTCCTGTGGAAAGTCGGCCTCAGGCCTGAGATCCTGGAAATAACCGAGGGAGCAGAACCCCTCTGGTGTGACCAGTCACAGCGGCTGTATATCCTGTCAGTCTTTTCTCACTTCTGTGCTAGCTCAAATCATCCTTCCATAAATATCTTAAGAGAAGAGCACAAGTCTGTCAGCCCCCACTGCATTAAGCTTACAGTATCCTTCTATTAGAAATCCTTTGAAGTCTCCAGCCCCCAGATAAGAAGTGTTGCACAAGACAACTGTTGCACACAGCCCACCTCCTTGCCTTGGTGACCTAATGGAGGTGGACCCCTTTTTTGTACACAACTCTCTACTGCTGTGCATGGCACAGCCCCCTGCTGCACATGGCCCACATCTCTGCCCAGGTGACATAATGGGGTGGTCCCCTCGCTTGTGACTCACGTGATTATATATGCCCTATTACTAAGCCTATAGATGATAACCTCAAGCACGACCCTGCCCCCTGCTTATAACTAATACAGATGCTCTGGGGCATTTGGGGACTGCCGCTGGTCTCCATTCACAGGTGGCGTGGCCCCCTGAGTCCAGATTCTTCAGGTCCTGTCTCTGTACTTCTCAGATCCTGCACCTCAACACAGCATAAGGGACACCCCATGACCCTGTAGGGCCCCAACAGCCCTACAGCATATATGGTTTGGTTGTGTCCTCACCCAAATCTCATCTTGAATTGTAGTTCCCATAATCCCCACATGTCATGGGAGGGACCCTGAGGAAGGTAATTGAATCACTGGGGCAGTTTCCCCCATGCTATTCTCGTGATAGTAATTTCTCACGAGATCTGATGGTTTTATAAGGGGCTTCACCCTTCACTCAGCTCTCATTCTCCTTATTGCTGCCATGTGAAGAAGCACATGTTTGCTTTGCCTTTGGCCATGATTGTAAGTTTCCTGAGGCCTCTGAAGCCATGCTGAACTGTAAGTCAATGAAACCTCTTTTATAAATTGCCAAGTCTTGAGTATTTTTATTAGCAGCATAAGAACAGACAAATACAGCGGCATACACAACAGTTGTGTATTTAATGTGTGATACTGCAGTTTGCTAATCTAGGCAGAGTTCAGCTAGGATGTTTCATCTCTATTGCTTGTGTTATCTCTGGGCTCAGTCATATAGATGGGGCCTCACCTAGGAGACCTGGGACAGCTAAGATGACTGCGCCTCTGCTCCATGTGGTCTCACTTTCTCCATGAGGCTAGCCCAGGCACGTTCATATACCAGTATTCAAACAGAGGAAGTAGAAGCTACAGGGCTTCTTGAAGTCCAGGGTTGGCACTTTAACATTATCACTTTGTTGTATTTTATTGGCAAAATTAAATGTGGAGGCCAGCCCCAATTTAAAGAGCAGGAAAATAGACTTCCCTTCTTGGAGAGAGAGACTGAAAAGAATTTGTTATCATCTTAATCTTCCACAGCTACAGATAAGGTAAAGTCTAGGTGATTCATCACTGCATGAAATCATTGGCACAAAAGAATTGACTTTGGTTGTTTTAATGGGAAGCTCGATTTCCACTTAGGGAAATAAAAATCTAAATTCAGTCGGTGGCAATTCAAATATAAATAAAAATAATTAATGTGTATTTTAAATGGATACGAGATGCATCAATTAAGGAAACATCAGAGATTTCGTAGTGCAAATAAATTATACAGTCAGTGAAATAGAATTTAATTGCAGTGTATTGACACATCTTATGATATCCTTTCAAAATGCTTCAAAGAGTGAACTGAATTATAGCCTTCCTATAATTTAAAACAAGTTTATAACTTGTTTTCCCTTATATACTTTATCTTTTGCATTAATGCTAGACAGATTTTTAAATAAATATGGAGAGATATGTGTATATGTGTGTGTATCCCCAAATCATTTGTAAAATGTAACATAGCAATACCTAAGATAACATTAAAAATTAAACAAATAACTATCTCATAACTATCTTTCTTTTTTCAGCAGCTATCTGCCTAGGGAAAAAATAGTCAAGTCTGGATATAAATAGAACAAAATTTAAAATTAACAATTTTAGTCATTGGAATTTAAGGAGATAAAACTTATAACTGTATAGAATGTTTCTTATTTAATATGCATTTCCAGAATTTTTTGAATTTCCCTGGAGGATACATAGTAATTTGTCTCTTTCCATAATTTCAGTTTTTCACAATCATCTAAAAGATAAATAAGATAGTTATCACAAAGGCAAAGTTTGAAAGCTGATCTCTCTCTCCCTCTCTCTTCACCCTAATCCCCATCGTGCACTCTTCTGGAGATAATTGCAGCTTTCACTTGAAGCGATGCTTATTCCTAGCAAGGGAAGGGCACAGGCATTTGAGCTCTTTGACAGCAAGGCAAACGAAAATGGCATTCTCAAACAGCTTCGATAGAAGATGAAGTTCAGCAGTGAGCATGCAGTGCGAGTACTTGGATGTCTCTGTTATACCTCAAAGACAGGAAGGGATTCTTCTGCCAGGCTAATTATAGGGCCACTGCCAGGAAGCAATCTCCATAATCTCCGTATGATTCCCTGTCTCTCTTTCCAAGCTGACACACCCAATAATAGCTATTATGGAGTCAACCTCCTCTGTCCTTCTGGGGTAATGTGTTATTTTGCCATGAACTCAAGGCTGCCATTACTTTCACAAAAATTGTCCATCCAGTGTGACAGCAGAGAGTTAGGATATGCTCCCAAGATGAATTTCAGGAGGATTTTCAGGGATCCACTCACAGCACACTTTCTTCCATGTGACCGAGAGAAAAATATTTAGTGGATAACTGCTCGTCATGGAGTGAGAAGACCCTGTTTAGCAAAAACTCTCAAATCATGCTTTTCCTCTGCTCTCAAACCACAACAATCAACAGAGAAGACTTATAGGACAAAACATGGGGGTTTTCCTCACACATACTATATTAGTCTGTTCTAAAACTGCTAATAAAGACATACCCAAGACTGGGTAATTTATAAAGGTTTAATGGACTTACAGTTCTAACGTGGCTGGGGAGGCCTCACAATCATAGTGGAAGGCATAGGAGGAGAAAGGCACATCGTATATGGCAGCAGGCAAGAGAGAGTACACAGGGGAACTGCCCACTATAAAACCATCAAATCTTGTGAGAGTCACTATCACGAGAACAGCATGGGAAAGACCTGCACCATGATTCAATTACCTTGCACTGGGTCCCTCCTATGACATGTGGGAATTATGCGGGTTATAATTCAAGATGAGATTTGGGTGGGGATGCGACCAAACCATATCACATACCAAGCACTGGACACTAGCTGGGTATCCTCTAATTAAATTTGGACACTATATATCTGGTTATAGTGCCAGAACCCACAGGGATCTACCCTGAGACACCAGTTGCAAGTCCATGCTTCCTGAACTTCTGAATGACCAGCTTCAAGTTGGTGTTCCCACAGCCCCTTCTTTGGGTTCCATTAATTTGCTAGGGTGGCTCACAGAACTAATGGAAACACATTTGTGGTTTATTATAAAGGCTATTACAAAGGGCACAAATGAAGAGGCATGTAGGGCAAGGTATGGGGGAAGGAGTGTGTGGAGCTTCCATGTCTTCCCTGGGCACATCACTCTCCAGGGACCTTCACATGTTCAGCCATCCAGAAGTTCTCCAAACCCAGTCCTCTTGGGGTTTTACAAAGACTTCATTATATAGACATGATTGACAACTGTGTACAAAGGCAATTTGAGCAAGAAAACATGATCTAAACCCAGCAAGAAGTCTATTCAGACTTTTCTTGGCCTCTCTGGGTGGCCTTCCTTCCTCTAAGGTATGGGGCAGAACACTTTCTAGAATGAGGGTCTTTTGACTCACAATCAGATTACAATTTTGCCTTGGGCAGGTGAAAAGAGGACAGAAGAAATTCAGAGAGAGAGATTCTGTTTTCTGAGACCTAAAGTGCCCCAACATTCTACAAAAGATTGTAATAAGGCTTATGGGAGTTATGAGTTGGGAACCATGGACAAAATCCTGTGTGTGTGTGTGTGTGTGTGTGTGTGTGTGTGTGTATGTTTTGTCCAATCACATTTCTATTTGTTGTCAATCAGGCCTATGTAATGAAGCCTCCATATAGCACACACACATGTGTGTGTGTATCATATATATGTATATATTCAGAATATCAGAGACTCCATGTGATAATATTTGTGAGTGAGCCAGGGTGGCAGGGTCTGGGCAGGGTACAGATATGAAGCACATCTCAACCCAGCAGCAAAGGGAGTAGCTTTCCTAAGGATATCCTAGCATGACTGAAGATCCTGCTGCATCTAGTGCATTGCCACACAGATCCAAGTTTAATGATGTATAGAAAAGGTAATCAGGTACCTGGACTGATCTGCATGAGGAATGCCACAGCATCATGAATAGAAGATCCCATGTGGCTGGGATCCCAGAACCTCAGAACTGGTTCTCAGGTAGGTTCCACCTACCACTGAATACCCTCCATGATGAAAATTCTGATGTGTGAAAATGCACAATGCTGTCTGTCTTAGAATGCTGGAAATTTTTGAAACATGTATGCTCTTGCAATAAGCTAATTTTACAAGAAGTTTTCAAAATGTGAATCATAAAGCAGAGAGGACCCTGAAATTAATAGAGTGGGTTGCAATGGGCCTTCTTTAAAATGAAGGGTCAGTGTGGCTTGCAGTGGCCTCTGTAGTTTGCAGATACCTGTGCTTGCTCAGTGATTTCCACACTTTGTCCTGCAAAACATCCTCAGGGACTGTAGGTGTGGGGAAAAGGAGGAGGTGAGAGGCCAGAATCCAGACTCTTCTAATCCTCACCTTCCCGCTAGCCCAATGGGTTCAACAACAGCGCCCTGCTTTTGTCTATTTAGCACAGCCAGCTATCAGCAGATCAGCTCAGTGTCGATGTGCCTCAATATGTTGGGATTTAAACACGAAATTTTTTTATGTTGAAACAAGCTGCCTTGTATTAGTCGGCCAGAGGTGCCATTAATAAAGTACCATAGGCTGTGGGGCTTCAGTGACAGAGATTTAATTTTCTCATATTCTGGAGGCTGCAAGTCTGAGGTCAAGGTATCTCAGGGAT